GTGTTGAACAGGTTCTTGTATCCAGTTTTTTTTCCATAATCAACCATAGGCGATGACAGTTCTGGCAAATTTCAAGGAAGCATGACCCTTGTTCCAAAACCAACCTGTGCAGCTTGCCGAAGCACAGCTTCGTCAATTTCAAACCTTAAATCTAACATCTTATACATTAATTAAACCGGAATCAAGCAAGCAAAAGCTTACAAACCAATCACCAAAACATCACTTACATATGGAGTGATGCTATCGAGTCCTTGGGTAAAGCAAAAGTAACAAAATATTCTTTAAGGTACAACTATTAACAGAAAGCTTATCCTATACATAGTCTAGATTTCAAAAACAGACTGTCGTCGAGAATGCATAACAGAAATCAAGAAATACCCAAGAAAACTACTACCAACCACTGAAGTTATTTTGACCACCGGTGCAAGACAGTAATAGTCTTAAAACAACAATACTATTGACATCAAGCAAGATAGAGAGGTAGCAAAAATCCTTCCGAAACACATTCCAATACGAACAAATTCAGTGGTTTAACCACCAAATCAACTAACTAAACCCAGTGTATTGTAAGAGTGAGTTCTCAAGTCATAAAAAATCAACCATGAGAACACACATGCATAAGTAATAACCAATGTCCATTGACTTGGATTTAGTGGTGGAGAAAACCTAATGACCCCATTGTTAAAAAAAAAGGAGGAGATAAATATTAGTTAATTTTTCAATAACTGAAGAAAGGATAATTCTCCACAACCCTGAAGGTGCATGCAATTATCAATCATGCAGGCTGCAGCATAGCCGAAGTTCTAACAGTAATGGTCATAAATTAACTATAAGTGATACTCAGACCAATAGTTTCAGTAATCGAATGACCAAGAAGGCTTTGCTTGTTAGACCAACAATGGTAACAGAATCTGAATATGCATTCTCAAACAGCCAGAATATTACTGCTATATATGGTAAAGACCCAAAACACTGTAGCAGTGGAAGATAACCATCCAATACCTGCTATCAACCAAGCATGAAGAAAACAGCAAAATACGGTTCACAACCAAGCATGAAGAAAACAGCAAAATACGGTTCACAATAGCATACTTATGAGGCAGTCATTTAGTTAGATCAGCAACTTTAAATTGATTGTCGCAGCTACTTCCGAAGAGTAACATTCTCCCATCACAATATGAACTAATCAGTGATGCTGCAGCTTAAGAACCAAATCCAAAGGGTTTTCAGTTGCCTTAATATAATTTTTTTTATAGAAAACTCTAGTGAAAGCGACACAAGCCATAACTAAGCTGAAGAAATAGCTCATCATGAAACCAGACTAAAGGACAGAAGCTGGTCAAGAAGCCAATAAATCAGGCATGCAGAAGAACAAAAAAAATGTTGTTTTCCCTCTAAATTAGCTTCAATCACCCTTTTCTGATAAAGTTAGTTGATATATTCATTTGATTTAGCTAAATGATTGTAGACAATGCCCGCAAGGAGAGTATGGCTAAATTATGGCCTTCAAGGACAACAGTAGAGGAACTGGTATGAATAATAACTACACAAACCATCCATGATCTCCATTCTTATTAAGGACTCCAATTACATGAAGTCACCAAAATTTTCTTAACTAGAACAGAGCTAATTAAGCCAACATGGTATCACGGGAACTCACTATTTCTTAGCCCCAAACCCAGAGTTTAACCAATGCAAAGTAAAGAGCTTCTAAGGAGTCCAGAAGTACATCTCAACACCCAAAAAGAACCAGAAATCTACTGAAACGATTTCTTTACCCAACATCTAGAGTTGAAACCTTGGCTTAAACAATATCTTGATCTAATAGCAGAGTTAATATATACTCTAGTTCTCAAAATGAACAAATCCATGCTCTAATTCTCAACATGTTTCCCAAGTGTCATCACAAGTCACATAGGGCACATTGAGAGGATGATAAAGAAAGATCATTCCGAGAAACAGGCTATATTGCATTTTAAAATTTATTGTAGCATACCAAGGCCTTGAAACACTCTTCCCTTTTCAGTTAGGAAGCAGCTTTGACTATTCAAGCCTGACTTTTCACCATTGTCCTTCATTTACCAGGTGAATCACACTATTGCAAACTTCCCCTCATTCACCAAAAATAAAAGAATAATTCCTGCTAAGGGCACGCCACAAACCCACATGATTCGAGTGGTGAATAAATGAAGCACAATATAATATAAAAAGTGCAACGTTAATTAGGTAAAAGCTGTGGAACAAACAAGCTGTAAGACTAGTGAATTTTCATAAGAGGTGTTTAATGAAGTTGATCCTGAGTTCAGCCTTTAAATCTTCCCATGATGCTATCACGTCATCAATAACATAGGAGTGAATCAAAATCTTGACTTCCTATTAGCTTAATGCGTTTAACATAGTGTATAAGAGAAAGCAATAGTATGTCTCTTCTACTGCATTTGTTTTTTCAGTTTCCCGTTCAAGTGCATTTGATATGTCAGGAAAATGTGTTCACATTATTGAATCTTTGGTATGGACCGTATTTATACTGAAAACTCTGCAAAGCACAAACCACAAAACACATTCAAAAATCACCAACTTTTGGATTATAACCTTTTCCTTCCTTTCTTTTTCAGAAGATAGCATGTTGTGTCCTCTCCCAGTAGAAGTAATAAGAACTCCACGTAAAAGGAGCATATAAGCCCAAAAAGAGTATCACTAGCACATGAGGGAAAAGAGGAAACTCAAGGACAAGGTCCAACCATAAAGGCTGAACCGGTTGTTGCATTAACCAGCACGCGAACTCAAGAATATATAAATGTAATAAGAGCCAAATAACTCCAATAGCAGAATATTTGAGCATAACATTGATATCAGTCAGCTCCTTTTTCTAAGTATTTCTGGAACTGGAACTCCCACCAAAGCTCGACCACCTT